CTACAAGAAAGGTCTTATGCAATTTTCCCGTGGATTCAACGGTTTAGATGTTATTGAGGAAAAACGAAATTTTTTTCTAAAAGTTCGCCGTTTCGACGCTGGGATGGTCGGATTTTTTCAACATCAATAAAATGCCAAATAATCATACTTAACTCATTAAATATCGAAATTAGAAGATAAGTGCACTATTTTTAATGATAGGAAATGCATTTTTCTAAGATACGTAAACTTTTGGTATTGATTTTATAGCCAATACATCTTTAGAGTCGCGGATAGCCATCAGCCAGTGGATGTTTTCCGTTCGCGGAAGAGCGTCTAATCTTGGACGTCGGAGGATGAATCGTATGGTACAAGGGCAACGTTTCCGCTGATGCATGAGAGTGTCCCCGGATTCGATACGAAATCAATTCGGTTTTAGTTTGGCCGGCGGCGACTTGGACGAGAAAGGAGGGACCGTGAAAAACGAAGGGACCCCAAGTACTCGCGGGAAACGCAATTAGAGCAGAACCGGTCGGTTACAAGCTACAAACAGCTTCTAGGGGGAGAGAAGAACGTTTCTCTGTGTTGTAGCGTCGTTTCCGTTCGGTTTCTTCTCCGCCTCCAGCCAGCCAGCCGCCTCGACCGGCGCAGTTCTCGGTTTACTTCCCCAAACCTCTTCAACAGTTTCACCAACACTTTTCATTCGCCTCTGCTATAGCTCGTAAAAATTTCGGTTCTCCAGTTGCATACGGTTATTTGTTGTTCAATTTCTAATAGCCTTCGTACAAATATTTTCCATGTTTATGCGATGATCTCCATCTAATCTGACCGATACATAAATGCATTTGATACGGAAAATAAGATATCATCGCCTGAGAGTCGTTCATCAAATGCACGTCGTCAGACGAACATGAAGAACGTTTTTGGCATGTGTTGCGCCCTCAGGTACTCGGGCAAAGAACTATCCTTCGCTGGCTTTATCGACGTTCGCTATGTCCCGCAGAAATCCAACGTTTGAAATGATCCGAAACGCGTTCTTAGCGAAGTCACGGACGAAGGGGAAACATAAGCATGCAACGCGATTTGGACGAAACGATGGGGTCCGCGAATATTTACCGCGCCGGTCGCGTTTACGCGGCGCAGAAAATCGCGCGAAAGTAAAGAGAAACGAAGGTGCTCGCGTGTTCGGGCCAACGAACAACGATGGCCTCGGTTTCAGGGTCGTTTCGGCTATTATTCGCTTGCACCGAGTTACCTCGGCCTCGCCTTCTCCTCGTCGCATCTCGTCGTTCTCCCCCGCGTCCTCACCTCTTCTCGTCCATCCCAATGTCCTGGCTTGCACCGTCTCGCCGTTTTACCTAGCCGTACATCCTTTCCCTAGCCCTGACTAGCTTCGTGCACTCCTTTGCTTTCTGTCTTCTCTTCAAATTTTCTTAAATAAAATAACGCATACCAAAATCTAAATCCTGATGTCCTGCTTTTGCACCATCCGTGCATCCTTTCTCTGACTCGCTTCGCGCAATTTTCTACCTCATGTCTTCTTTTTAAAAAATTTGAAATAAGGAACAGAGATCACGATCCTTGAATCTTATAAAATTGCCCGAAGAACGCAAGGAACGTGTAGAATTATTATCGTATTAGCAATTAGATCATATTTCACATATGCTAAATGTCATTTGCTGGAGGATAATTCGAATTACGTTGGTAAATTTAATATCCTCGCCTTTCTAATTGTACGAAGTGCGCGCTCGAGCATGAGGGCACCACTTACTGGCCTCGCGTGGACTCAATACTCGCGCACGTCCGGCCTTATCTACACACACAATTCTCGAACGTGTGTATGTGCTGCTTAATCAGCTGTTGTTTATTCAATGAAAATGAAATACCCACTACTCTTTCCTCTGTTTACGATTAGCATACGCTCGTTGCGTAAATATAGAAGTAAAACGGGCGATCAACTGCGATCGTCGAAACTCTATTAACAGTATCAATTAAGTAATTCATCGAGCGATGATCGAAAGAATGTTTTTCAAACGCTGTAATCGAATATATTTGAAAAATGCGTTCAACCGCGTGAGTAGAATGAAAAAAAAACTAAAGATTAATATATAAAACAGATATTCATTTTATTTCCTCTGTCAGATACATCAACGGTTCTACAGTAATAGAACCGATAACGTTGCGAGCGAGCCTTGCTTCTTAGGAATACAAACTGCATTTACAAGCGAGCTGAAATTTTTTAATGAAAAATCCTACGACCCTTTGCCTACATACAGAATTTTAAAATCTTCCAAAGACGTACAATTACCAAAGGATCTCGAGGTTTGATATACCACTTGCAAATGCAGGTTTCTATTGCAATGTATCAATGATCCTTTCTGTCTCACTCAAGTTGAACGAGCAGACTCTGCTTAGAATGTATCGTAAGATGATTACACTGAATGTAATGGACAAGATACTCTATGAATCTCAGAGACAAGGTCGTATATCGTTTTACATGACTCACACAGGGGAAGAGGCAACTCAAATTGGTTCAGCAGCAGCTGCTACATTAGAAGATATGATATATGCTCAGTACCGAGAAGCTGGTATAGATCGCTATTTGTAATGTTAACTAAAATGAATTGGAATCAACATTATTTTACATACTCAGGTGTTTTGCTTTGGAGAGGATATACTTTGGTAGAGTTTATGAATCAGTGCTATGGCAATCATAGAGACACTGGGAAGGGAAGGCAAATGCCTGTTCATTATGGATCAAGAAAGCTAAACTTCGTTACTATTTCATCTCCTCTAACGACACAGTTGCCTCAAGGTAGTTTAAAAAATAATAAATGAAAGCAATCGATCGTCCCTTACTATCCGCTGTCTATCCTCAGCTGTAGGTACGGCCTATGCGTTTAAGCGATCTGGGAAAAAAACGTGCGTGATGTGTTATTTTGGCGATGGTGCCGCTAGTGAGGGGGATGCACACGCAGCTTTTAATTTCGCCGCAACTTTGTCCTGCCCGATTATTTTCATATGGTAAAATTAATCGTAGGGTCAATTTTAAAATAGAACGTGAAAATCTCGGTATGATTTTAGTCGAAATAATGCCTATGCAATTTCGACCCCTACTGTGGAGCAGTTTAATGGGGATGGAATTGCGGCAAGAGGCCCGGCTTATGGGATAGAAACGATACGTGTAGACGGCAATGATATTCTCGCTATGTATCATGCGACGAAAGTTGCTCGTAATTTTTGTATCGATAAAGGGAGACCCGTCTTAATTGAAGCCATGACTTATCGGTAAAAAGAACTCATTGCATTCGTATTCGCTCAAACATTTAAGCTGACAGTCTCTTGTACTTTAGAATCGGTCATCATAGTACTTCGGACGATAGTACTGCATACCGTTCGGCCGACGAAATAGATCAATGGAATCGTTCCTCACCAGTAATTAGATACCGCGATTATTTGCAATCAGTCGGATTATGGTGCGAACAGCGAGACCAGGAGTTAAATAAATCGGTGAGAAGTTCGGTCCTACTTGCTTTTGCGGAAGCGGAAAAAGAACTCAAACCTTGCTGGAAAGAATTGTTCACAGATGTATATCATACAATGCCGAAGCATTTATGGTGTGTTTATACGTTCTTAAAAGTCATCGTCAAATCTTTCGTCAGTAGTAAACATTTCTTTCATTACAGTAAGCAGATGCAATCCATGGAAAGTCATATCGCAGAATTTGGCAAACATTATCCTCTACATCTTTTCAAAGAGAAACAATAATACTCTGTAATGAACTCACCATAATCGTAACGAAACAATAAGTTTATAAAGTTTTATTATACATACTAAATAATAAAGCATTTACACGACGTGTCTTAGAACTTAATATTCTCAGCTATCTCCTTGTACTTCTCCATTCTGTATTCCTTCCTAGCTGCATCAAGCAGCATATTGTGAATTAAATCATGCTGATGTGGATTCACTTGTTCGATGCTAGGATACACATTCCCTGAAGTCAAAGATCAGCTTTTTAATTCTCAAATTCATACAATTGTACAAATATACACAGAGTGAAACATACCTTTCAATTCTAAAACAGCTCTTTTATATGCATATCCAGGATAGATCATTGGTGCATTGTGCAGCTTCGTATAAGAAGTAGTATAATCTTTGTATCTTGGTACGAGCACTTTAAAAAGCTTGTGAACAAGTTGTTTCTCCTTTATCCAAAATGAGGCGAGCTCCATAGTTTCTTTGTGTTCAGGGCCATAACGCAATGCTTCGGATATCAACTGCATAAAAAGGGATAAATATTACAATTTCGTAAAAGATATCGAAAATAGTATTACAGTAAAAGATACCCACTCGTTCGACATAACCTCGAGTTTCGTCGGCTCTTGCATAATTCAATTCGATCCTTTCGTATTTAAGAACAGCAGTCAACGTCTTTTGTATCTTCCTTATTCTTCCTTCTGGTCCGTCGAAATTTTTTAATTTACGTGCCTCAGGTCGAAAACCATATCGTAACCTAGACACTAGATGCTCGACGTTCGCCTGATTCATTTTTCGTAGATTTAAGTAAAGAGTCGAGAGATTTGAATAGATTTTCCTCGTCGAATGTTATCAGATTTCATCCGATCATTCAGTGAACAAATAACTTTAAACGAATCTGATATGCACATTTAGTAACACTCGTGATTCACGAGTCGTAAGACGCGTAAGACCGAATAGTACATTGTATGATTGTAGTACATTATTGTCATCCGAATATACAGATGCGTACACAAGCTGTAGAAGCTAGGTTAATTAAACTCATAATAGTAGTCTGATAAATCAGCAGAATGTGTACGTTAAACGACGATATTTCCGAAGCAGAAGAAGCGATTGAAGACATGTGGGTGTGCTCGATCTTATTGATTATCGAACATTTTATTCATCTACGAATTTTTATAGAATCCCTGTCATCGATACTGCACATGTATCAGACAGCAATCCAATCTGTAAGAAGTGTGGTTGTCAAGAGACCTACATTTCGTTGAGGAGTAAAAATAATTATTGCAAGACGTGCTTTCTAACGATGACTACGCACAAGTTCAAAGCGGCACTCGGTAAATCGAAATTGATGAAACTGAATGATTGGGTACTTATAGGTCATTCTGGAAAAGTAAATTCCACTGTACTCTTGCATCTCGCCACGAGGGAATCAATGTCTAAGAAACTTAGTCTGAAGTACAAAGTTCTTCACATAGATGGTAAAATATAAAGGATAAAAATAGTTCTTTGTACATTATTGTTTGATTTATTTGCATTTTCTTAATGCAGACGGTATGATCAAGGGCCAAAGCCTTGAGGAAAGGCAACAGATCAGAAACGCATTAACTAAAGAAGCTGAAACTCTACCATTTCCAGTATATACGATATCTTTGTCAAAGTCTATAGCACATATCATTTACGATAAGATTCACTTGATAGATACTTCAGAAATAAATGTAACGGAAGAGGATGAAGCTTTACGAAAGATCTTCAAAGATTTGCAAAACGATACAGCAAGAGATGAACTGTTAAAACAGTTAAGACAGAAATTACTTGTGTCCGCGGCTTATACACTCGAGTGCAGTAAAATTTTCGTCGCTGATACATCTGTTGATATCGCCATAAAAGTTCTCGGAGACGTGTCAACCGGAAGAGGTTCGCAATTGCCTTTTAACGTAGCTTTCTCGGACACGAGATACTCCGACCTGATGTTACTTAGACCGCTCAGAGATTTTACAGAAGAAGATATAGCTGGCTATGCACATTTTTACGAGTTACATCCGATTCTTAGCTCGCGCGAATCTAAGTCTCCGTTTCGCGCATCTATAAGAAGCATTGCGAAAAGATTCGTTCAAAAATTAGACTCGGAATGTTACGGCACGGTATCTACGATCTATCGTATCAGCGGAAAGATATCCGCAAAAATTGAGGAACTGAATGACGGAAACGCTAACGGGATGATTGATGACAACAAATGCGTGCTCTGCGAATTAACTTTAGATTCTTCGCCGGAAGAAGTCTCAGTTGTACAAGCGAAGCTATTTTCGAAATTAGTCTCCACAGTAAAAGACTTCTCCGTAAACAGCAGCACGAATTCTTTATGTACTTTTGAACAAACAGTTAACGAACAAATCAAAGAACAGAAGGGATCTCAGTGTCGATGTACTATTAACTGTAATTCTCCTAAAAACGAATTCGACGTTGGAAAATATCTCTGCTACAGTTGTAAATTAATTTTCTTAGATTCAAAACAAGCAAACAGTTTACCAGGTTTCATCCTTGACTCGATAAAGCGAAGGGCACAGATTGAAAATTTGCGAGAGAAGATAGCAGGCTTTTTGTTGTAATATAAACAGAATGAAATTTAATAAAAAATATGATACAAGTATTTTCGAATTCGAATCCTCCGAAGCAGCAGCGCCATCTCAGCCACAAGTGTTCGAACTAGCAGTATATAATATAGTCGATAGTGAAGGTTTGTTATGCAACGAACCGTAGTGAGCGCAGTAGAATCTCCATTAACCTGTCTCCTGGCGAATATCATCACTTTTTTCAAATAAATTTCACTTGCTTTGTGCGTACACATTAGGTATGTTCTCTGTCGTACATTAAAATACAGTGACTTCAAAAATATGCAGTTCTTTCTGATTGTTATAGACCGTCTTTATTACAACGTGACATCGTAGTATTGTTATCGAATAAACAACTATCGTTGCAAATACAGTTTGTTCACAGTTCACAGATCTCATCGAAATGGCTGAAGGACTACTGCCTAAATCACAACTGCCTAACGCCAGACATAATGCTCTTATTGAAAGCCCGGTTTCAGATATGATAAAAGTCTCGGTTCATGTTCAAGACGACGGTCTCTGTAGAGATTTCGAGCTTCAATTGGCCGAATGCGTCGAGGCTTATGGATTCTACAGAGGACAGACTAAATGCGAAGCAATGATTCACGATCTTTCCGAATGTTTGAAAGGCGAAAAACGCAGAAGTAGGAACGACATAATATACGGGGAGATGACTCGGCAGGTAGAAAACGGAGAAAGAAAATATGAGAAGCCCCCATTCTTAGCTTTCATTCGTTAACAGTGATGTAAAAGTTGTGTAAGTGTCAAAAGTGGATGCATAACAGAATAATCTGAAATAAATTAGGATGAGAAGAAACGTTTGTTCCTCTCTGTAAATCCTGTCCTATTTTAGTCTACTCGTAGTTCAATTCGATTACTGTACATCTAAAATGTACTTGAAGAAACAAATTAACTGACGTTTACATTCGGTAAAAGAAGTGTACGATCATTGAAACGGTACGATGCGAGTGTAGGAATTCAGATAGAGCGTCGCCAGATGGCGGGAAAATGTTGAAGACGAGGATGAACGGTGTAACGCAACGTGCCTTGGCGGGTAGACGGGCAGGCGGGTAGACGCGGGTATGCGAACGAACGAACGAACGAGCAGAAAGATACGTAAGCGGGACGGTAGGTTGCCGACTTGTTAGGCCGGAAGGCGGGCGCACCTGTCTGTCATCAGCGCCGACTGTCAATCTTACTGACGCTGGCGCACACGCTACGAGAACCCGCCGCATTCGTAGTGTTTATCTGTCACAGGCAACGTGAAATTAATCGTAACGGGCAGCGGTACGGACAGAAAAGTGCTGTGTTAGTGAAAGAAGCGCAAGGAAACCACAGAGAGATACGCCGGTGAGTTGTCGAACGTCTGATCGGTCCGTCGGCCGAGAAAACGTGTGAACGAAAGAAACCACGAGACACACGCCGCGTGTTAATTGTTCAACGATATGGACAGATCACATCCCCTCACGTTGTTTACCGTACCACCTCGTTTGTCCGTTCAAACTCGATGACCGGCAAAAATCTGGTCTGCGTACGCGCGATTATGCAATTTTTTCCATGCACGCGTCCCCACGAAGACCGAAATATTTTGTCAATCATTTTCCGCTCTACGCGTTTAGAGCGTCCGCGTGCAAGTGTGCCTCGGCTGATCACGAACGTTCTTCAAACGCCACGTTCATTAACAGTCTTTTTGTTTCTATCCAACAGTCGATCGAGTATCGAACGATCTCTTTAAGCCCACGAGGACGGTGCCTCGCCGCGTGCACGTTTTCTCTACCTCAAGTATCTTCGCTATGGACCATCGGATCGGTGAGTGGAAATCAATTCGTTACTCATTACGTGTGCGATTCCAAACGCAGTCATCCAAATGTCATCGAAATTAACTAATCGGTCGGGAATCGAATCTCCCGTTCACGTTTCGCTGAAAATTACGAGACGCCATCATCCAGAATGCTATAGCGCGTGGCTACCGAGCTAGCGTTCAGTCAGCAAACCAGCTAGCTAGTCAGGCACGTGGTGGCGCGCCACGCCGCGGTACTCGCTTCCACGGGGCTCACCACGCTTACCCCACGGAATCCGCTCTTCGTTATAATTACCAACTGTCATTCTGCTTTTTCCGTCGTGCCATCCATGCCTGTCTGACCGCTTGCTCACTCGCTCGCTGCTTACTGCTTGCTCGCCTTACCCTGACTACTACAATGTCTTGCGTGCACGCGTACTTGCTTGTATGTACAGTGAGTACGTAGTACGAATATGTTTACGCGCGCTTATTCTCTCCGACCACAAATCGATTCATTTATTTTTTAACACTGCAAAAATTTGATTGTCTCTGTCTCTCTCTCTCTCTCTCTCTCTCTCTCTCTCTCTCTCTCTCTCTCTCTCTCAGGATAAATTTTCTAACGTTACATTCGTTTTCGTCTTCTCATTAAATGAACGAAATCGAATAACTCGTTCGCTCTCTTTAAATTTATGATCGTTTCCGAGTCACGTGTTTTCTATAAACGTGCGAGCCACGTGAGATATTTGCAGCCTGATTATATTAGTCAGCTAATTCGAATTTTAATTTATGTATAGATAAAAGTTTACAAGAAAGTAGTCGATGAAATACCTAGTTATTACAAAAATATACCCGCGAGCACGAATATTTTGGCTGGCGTTACGTAACATAGAAGATAAAGAAAGATATGAGGAAAAAGCGCAGATATATGAATTTTTACTTCACCGCAGCGCAGAAGTTCGTACGACAGACGAAGCGAATTACTTATAGTAAATCGAATTAAAGAATGCAGTCGTTGTAAAATGAAAATCATCTCAGCTCGAGTAAGTAATTGCGACGACGATTGAGTTGGTGATCGAGTGCGATACGAATGGTGAAAATGTTTAGTTAATAAGTTGGGAAAATCAAGTTCGGATTAGAGTTCAAGATTAGCAACTCGGTAAATGGGTCGCGATACATGACATTATCTAGCTTTGGTCATTGGCCAGCGAAACTCGTTTGAGAAGACGCGAGAGTATTGTGTAACACGTCTAATAATAGTAATAATGGTACTATGTACTCTAGCAATGGTACCGCTAGCAAAATTAATACGGATTCTTATGGAAATTGTTGCGACATATCCGGTTACAATCAATACGAGCATCGGTTTCTCCCTAACAAATATGAACCGTTGTACCTACAGGAATTTAAGAGATAAAAATATATCTCACGTTATTCCGCCGTGCAACTATCGAGGGCCCTAAAATACCGGCCTTGATCGACATACTAAACGTTCGTGTACGCACGTTTAACGACGAATCGCTTCTAATTCTTCTTGTTGTATCGCGTTACATCGCTGCGTTTGGTGCACGCTAAAATTCCTCTCGCGGCATTGCTTTTTATACCTTTTACAGCGCGTTTCACCATAGAACCGTGGCTCGTGTTTGAGGCACGAACCAGCTCGACAAACAATGGAGCGAATAAATACGTGCGTCGGGGATAGAGTGAAATGTATTCTGTAAAATAGACGTAGAGCGGTTTCGTGTCATCGTATCTTTGGCCTGTTACGTAACCAATATTTAGTAGTGCAGCCGTTGGTCGGCTCTCGGTTGCTCTCGATGACTTCCTACACTTGTTCACGCGTGCTCGACTCGACAAATTTAATGGAAAAATAATCCATTTACGCGTTTCAATGATACAGTTTTTAATTTCTTCAAGATTTCTTTCTACTAAATACTTGTTTTACGAAGTAATAAGAAAATATCTCGGACTAGTTTTTGTACGACAGAATTAGCTCTCACAGAAACGATCGTTCTACCAGTGGATTCATTCACAACATGGTTATTATCTGTTGTAAATATCGTCATTTTTAGCCCTTCCACCGTTTAGATTACGTACGCGTATGCCTAAGGTTATCGTTCAAACAACATGAGAGCATAGAGGCTATCGTAGGCGAAATGAGGAGTCGTTAAGAAATGTTACACCGATCCCATGTAATCTCTCGATTGTCGCTGATAAAATTTAAAGCATGTCTAAGGAAGTTACTTTTTAATCTATGGGAGATATATTCGATTAAACCCAGTTGAGAATTGCTCCTTACGTTATTAGTTCTCGATTAAATGTATAGTAAATGATTATTGGGACGAAATAGTCGCGAAGCATGCCACGACGCGAGACACGAGCAGCCCAAAGGCCGTATCTAAAATCGTTCTATGCTCGCTGACCTACGAGGAATGTTCGTCTCTCCTCTTGAATCGATTGTTCTCTGCGTGTCGCAGATTCGGCAGATTTACCCTTACGTTACTCTTGAAACACATCCACGTCAGTCCTTCCGATTCGAATTTTGAAAGAAATTCCGAATTTCGGCATTTTCACCGTTTCGTCTTAATCGCGAGTGTAAAAAAGAAAACGTTGCTCCCCTCTCGCTGTGTTTCTTTTAGCGAGGAACAAAGTCAATTTCCTTAGGTCCAACTGGTTTGCGTTAGCGGCAGATAGCTAATAAGCGGCACAAATTCGTTCGATCGAACATTTGCCTAAACCGTTTAAAGAAACTAACAATGGCTCGCAAGGCAATTAGGAACTGGATACTAAACGGGATCTGTGACGATTACAGTTAAACAAAAATCGTTGTGCAATTTAATTTCGACAGGGAGAAATCGGTGTGCGCATATATAATGACTTATTTTCTAAATTAAAAAATACATCGTGGATTTCATCGTCGAAATATCAAAGGCAGTTTTGTCAATGTTAATGTACAGGAGCGCTGGGTGGTCGTCTAACGAAGGGAGAAAGTAAATAACGCGTACGATAACGACGTTATCGCGTTAAAAGTATCTATGATTACTGAATGATTGTAAAATAAGGGTTGCGATACGATAAAAGTTTTGCGTTATCTTCGACTCTTGGGGATAAACGATAACGGCGAAGATGAAGCTGTTAGGAGATGGTTTTTTACTTATGCAGATGGATAGAACCGCGCGAGGAAATATATAATATACAGTGTCCCAAAAAAATGTTAGAGCCGAAGAGAAGTTATTCTGTAGTTGTTTCTGAACAACAATTTCCTTTGGCAAAATGCAGGGTGAGGGATGGTTTTTGAATTATTAACGAAAAATAGTGACCGATGAGAGCACGAGTAGGGCCCGCGCTCAGCCAGTGGAGTATTGGCTCGGCCAGCGCGGAGGGCCTACGCGTGCTCTCATTGGTCAGTGTTTTTCGTTAATAATTCAAAAACCATGGCTGACTTTGCATTTTACCAAAGCAAATTGTTGTTCAGAAACACCTCCAGAATCACCCCTTTTCGACTCTAACACTCTTTCTGAGACACCCTGTATATTTTCTTCTTGCATATCGAACTGACGTACGATTAGCCGTATATTCAAACGGTTTCACTGTTCTTAGATTACGCTCTATCTGGCCTAACCTTATCTGAACCGTATGCATTATCGCCTCTGGTATCTTGAACTTTTTAGTACAACATTGAGCACCACGGTTTTTTGAAATACGGTACGATAAAGATGTAAAATTTTCTTCCCGGCCTCGTGTTTGCATTAGATAATAAGAATTATAAACTTATCTCCCGTCGCGAGGGCGAGGAAGGTTTATAATGAGACAGTACTAACCTGTCACCGTGTTGAAATTGGATTGTATTTGAATCTGTATTAAAAACGAATTGCTCGAACGAAACCTGTACACAAGCAAGAAGCGTCGACTGTCTTAGCGATTCGAACGTTTAGTTACACAATTGTTTCCCATGGTGTAACGCGTTTCCCGCCAATAGATATTATTTATTCGCAGCGTGGTAGGGGGATAACGTTACCACATATCTGTAGAACGAATTTCACGTACGCGAATGCATACACACGTGAATTATATGGCGGGAAAGATGCGTACGTTGCCGGAGAGGGAGCGAAAACGAAGGGACTGTATTGGCTGGGATGACAAGAAGCGGGAAACTCGTGCTGGCGCGCGCGCGCGAGGCATCTCCACTTTGCCCACATGCACGCTCATTCTCATGTTTGGTTCGCCTCTTGTTAGATGTCTGTGTCAAACCGGCTTCCGACATGGTTGGCCCAGTCGCGTCGTGAACGTCGTGCGACACCGGGCGTGATCGGTTCTCTCAAATTGGGAATATACATACTCACGTATCGTTTAGAAAAGTCACGAGTGAGCCGGAGTAAAATTCAGAGGGCGACATTCCCGTTTTTCGTCTGTTTTCTTTTTTCTGTTGCCGTTCGCCCGACGATTCTTGTGCAGACGATGTTAAAAATAGTAAATAAATGAGACCTCTTCCTGCCACAGCTGCAGGGGAACGGGTAGAAAGAAAGTAAAGTCATGAAATCGAATCGGTAGAGCAAGCTAAACTAGTTTTTTGAAAGAGTGTCGGTGGGGAGTCAGTTAGTAGTTGACAGAAGGAAACAGAGGAGTTCCTTTGCGACTTGGTCAAATGCAGCTGTTTCATCGTCATCGGTTATTTTTATTACGACCATCGGCAATGCAATCGCGACAGTATCGTTTAACGAATGGAGAGCGACGACGTTTAAGGTGATTGACTGTCGTAAGGAAACGTCGTCGAATACGGTAGCACGTGAACGGGGGAAAGAATCGGGGAACGAGAGATAACGTGCAGGCATGAAAGAGATGCGTGAAACAGATACGGAGTAAGCTCGATTGAAGAAGATCTCGGTGTTCGTTCAAGCTCGAGTTTACGCAACGCGTGTCGAACTTTCCGAGTACACTCTTGATCACGAGAAAGTCATGTTACCGCCAGCCGCGATGCACTTGGAACGAAAAGAGAGTACCGAAAGAATGACAGGTACACAACAACAACAACAACAACCATACGTTCATCAATATCGTAACCAATATTATCAGCATCAACAGAAGCAGCAAGATTGTCATCGTCATCGACGTCATCATCGTAACGATCACCACCACCACCACCATCACCATCACCGCCATCGCCATCATCACAGGCATAAACATCATCGATACGACGATCAAACCGATCAAGAACCCCAGCATCATCATCATCATCATCATCACCATCCTCCTCGACGTTCGCGGAACGTAGATTGCCGTCGCGGTGTATCGCCGTTATCGTCGTTGCCGATATCATGTAACGATAATTCGCCCCCTACTCAGCATACGAACATGTTTGTGACAGGTAAGGCCGACAATAATCATCGATTCAATATTGAATCGCCGATAGAATTCCCTCAAGGCCTAGGAAAATAACGGTCGTTGAATTTTATGCTAACAAGCCATGAGAAGTGTCACCGTCCGAGCCCTGTCCCTCGAGGGTGACAATTAGGACTGTCGCAAATAAAAAGAACTGGAAACGGTTGATTTGCATATTAGATAATCGAACGGGGACGTGGGTTCAGCAGGAAAAATGGTATTTGTTGCACTACTCTCCCTGTTCTTTCCTCTATCTCTTTTTTTCTAAACGCGTGTGCGTCAGTAGCTCGTTGCTTGCTGGCAGAGTACGAGCAAACGTGGATATATTCCTGATCAATGCTGCGAGCAATCAGCGTATCGGTAAAAAGAGATATTACTTAATTTCGGAAGGAGCAGATATCGAAGACGATTGTTTCGAAACCGATCACATGTTGCGTATGTGTACGAAATTACGTCATTCGTGTTTCATAAATTCGACGGCTCTAAGAATGTGCTTACAGACGGTACTTGCGAGATGGGGAGCGAGTAATATCTTCGAGATAGCGAACGAACACGTGTACGTTTGTACGTTCGCGTATCAATCCCTATAAACTTGAGCTGAAATTGTCAATGCTGTAAAATACGATGACCGAGCGCATAATATTCGTATAGCGAGACGGTAACGATCGTTCGAACGTTTGTCAAGGAATTACTGTTTAATCGAAAATTAACTGAGGTTCAAGAATGTGCCGAGTTTCGTGCGTATCGGTTAATGGTGGGAGTACCGCAAGATCTACACCTATTTGCGTCTTTAATGTTTTTGTCGTTGCATTCAATGCAAAATATACCGGACATTACGTGGCTAAGCTTATGTCACGAAGGTTACAGGCAATTCTCGCGGTGTCGAATTTGCTTCGACGTCAGCGAAAGGGAACGTTTATTAATGCGAGAAAGTATTGTCGTGTAATGCGGCTAGTTTTGGAAACCTTCCAGATGTGTCACCGACTGTCATTGTGCATTAATGTGCAACTTCGTAAAAAGATACCTTACCGTTTAAGTAATTAGTCGAATATTCCTCAGCTGGACTCATAAGTTCAGAAACTAGTGAGACGAGAGTTCAGAAACTAATTTGTTACGAACGCGTTCGCTAGTTCTGGCGTTAGTCGGTTAAGAAGTCAAATAGTTGAATAACTTTAACGGCGGTAGGACGCATGGTGCATACGTGAAGTCGCTGGCAACTCGTTGTATATTTAGCTCGATGGAGGAAGAGACGATGCCGTTTCGTACCGAACTAAGGTCGCCGGGTGTCTTCTTTTCTTTCCTTTCCTCCTCTTTGACCAGCCATTCGTCCCACCGAGCTGATAATGTTCAGGGCATAGTTTTCTTGCCGAACGCTATTCCTATCATTCTCACCGCCGCCACCGCCGCCGCCGTCACCATCGTGACACTCCGACGTCGTCATAGTTTTCGTCTAGCCGCGAGGAGCTTGGATCCTAATTTTGTGCCGTCGGGTTACTGGACCTTACGTAACTACGTATTCAAATGCTAAGATTAGTCGCCGGTGCAAACTAACCAGAATCGAAGATTCAATTTCCGGACGTAGAAGTTCGCGAAGGAACGGAAAATTCGGATAGTTCCGCTCGTAGGAAAAAGCGCGAACAAAAATTTCTTGAAACGAAATCGAGTCTGGCATGATGCAATTTCCACGTGCAGTTGGTCATATTATCGAGTCTTTTCGAATTCAATTGTCACGGCCGCGTATCTAGCGTACGCTTAAAGTTGACGAGCAAACAATTTTTAATCGTATCAAGTGAACTTCATTGTTCGCTCGTTCCACTTGTTTAATTCATATATTTAAATATACATATTTTACTGTCGGTGACTGTTACAGGTCACTGACGATGCCCAGTAGAAAAAAAAACATTGTACCTACGTCTCAAAGTACAATGCTCGTAGAACCATAGTCGCGCGATGTAATTGAGTGGAGATGATGCTGTGTGTAATGCATGCAAGTACGAAATTCTCTGTTATTCGAATGGCACGATCGAGAAGGACGGTGGCTTGAGATAATCGTGCGCGTTAGGGGGAAATAAAAATTCATGCGGTCACCGTTGATTCGTGTTTCAGCAAGGGAACGTTTTCCTTCGTCCAGTAGTACCGACGACGATCAAAGCGGTTCCGACACGGAACACGATTCGAACGCACTGCGCGGCAAGGTTCACTCTGGGATACTTCATCACTCTGGCACCCATTCCGTGAGAAAACGCCGGGGCAACTTACCAAAGCATTCGGTGAAAATTCTAAAGCGATGGCTTTACGAGCACAGATACAACGCATACCCGAGCGACAGCGAGAAGCTGACGCTCAGTCAGGAAGCGAATTTGACGGTGCTGCAGGTCAGTGCATACTTCTTATTTCGCATTTCCTATTCTCCACTACTCGCACGATTACTTCATCGATCGATCGGTTCTCGTTTCGCAGGTTTGCAATTGGTTCATAAACGCCAGACGGAGAATCCTGCCGGAAATGATCCGGAGAGAGGGCCACGATCCTCTTCAGTACACGATATCTCGTAGAGGTAAAAAGATGCCCGCGGGTAGTCACCAACAATCGTCTGGCCTCGGTACGAGATCCAGTCAGACCTGGGATTCGTTAGCTGGGATGAGTGCTCCTAAACGTAGCAGAGACCACGACTACGAAGATCCCGCAGGATTGATATACCGGTTCGTCGCTTCGCCAGCTTCGCGTTATACGCTGTTATATATTAACAGAAACGAAATCAGTTGTTGAAATATGTTCTCAGAAGCGAAGAGGACAGCCCGAACGATTACGAGAGTAGTTCCCACAGCGAGGAGGAACGCCCGTCGACGCAGTGGCCCAGCGTAATAGTTTACCCTTACACGGAAACTAAAATCGAACAAAACGTCGGTCAGCTCGCCGGGTTCAACGACGCGATCGCTCATCCAGCGCGACGAGGGTAAGCATACACATGACGTTTGTCATCTGACATATCAATTCGACTAATTAAGATCTCGATGTCTCCTGTTCAGGGACGATGACGATTCCTCGATGGTGAACGAAGCCGCGTACTGGAGCGCGCCCAGACAGCACCTCATCCAGACTGCTGACGTTCAACGCGAGACCGAAATGTACACACGCAATGCTCACAGTCCTCATTCGGACGAAACACCACCTCCGACACCACCCGAGGAGGATAAAGACAAGTTCAAATGTCTTTACTTGCTGGTCGAGGCAGCTGTCGCTGTTCGACAACAGGAAAAAGAACGGGAGGGGACTGTACCGGTTTAACAAAAGCAGCAGTGTTTCTCGTAGCTTACATCCACGTTTCTTAATTTTTCGTTTCCCATTACCCTACGAAGAATGCAAAACAATATTGCCGTTTTCTCGTCGCCGGTCGTGGAATTGTTTTTTTTTTTTTTTTTAAGCCCCTATCTGGTGACAGATGTTCTTCTCACTTTTAAACAATTTTCTTGTAGCTTCGGGGGGATTGTACGAGGTAGAAATTAACAAAACTCGTAACATGTGCTCTTCTTTGTAAAGGTTTTAGTCAACTTCCGCATATACGTATGCACGCGATGAAGAAATAATGTCAGACCAGTAAAGCTCGAGGGGTGACCGGACGTGTAGTAACGAGATCGTTAATCGACCTTGCGTATGACAGTGCTCTCAAAATGATAATTTACAATACGGGTGCGCTGTTTTGAAATCGTACAACGAAAAAGCTCTCAAAATTACACGTTTGTATTGTACTATTGCAATTTTTCAGTATTTATTGTGTTCTTCGAGGCAATAACAAGAGTTCTTCGGATTCGAGGATACATTTCACAAACAGAGTATCCTGCCTTCTTGTAAAGAAAGTAAACATACACAGTTACAGACATGCTATATATATATATAATATATATATACATATGTGTGTGTGTGTGTGTATATATATGTATATATATACATATATTCGCGTGCGCGAGGGTGGAAGGGAGGATAGTTACAAGACAAATCATTTGAACGATTCAGTATAATATAGTGGGAGTTGCCTTTCCATTTCGTTGTTCGTATTTTCGTCGATGAGCGTGCTCTAGTATCAGATGGGGTACTAGTTGGACAGAAAGAAAACGTGAGATTGACGATCAAACAAGTGCCAAAATAATATAAACCCGACCGACAGGTCGATCGTAAGTGTGACGAGAGAAAAGTCTAATTGCATGTCAATTTCGTTGAACTTCTCCGTTTCCGTGTATCGTATCTTGCAGTGAAATCTCGATGAATATTACAGTCGCGCGTTTTCTGATATTCATAGGGAGAAAGGGAGAACGGGATATGTTCGACGTGACAGTGAAAAAAAAAAGAAAACATATACATATTTACGCGTGTTTCTCCGATCGAAGAGGATCGCGGGTCGCGCGTAATCGTTCGTAAAACATTTGCTTCGGATTGTTAAAATATATATTGATAAAAATACATTGCTAAGCAAGTGTTGAACCAGAGACTGGCCAAAGAACACTGAAAGCATTTCCTTAATGTTCTGTTGTTTACTTGTACTTAGTTATTTTCTTCTACATTACTTTCTTTTTCGTTTACATTAATGACACGATCGTACGACGTCAATAGGTTGTGCATCGATTCTCCATCCACGTCTCGAAGTTACGCAGTACTTAGGCTCACGAATGCATTAATTCGCGCGTATTCTTTTTCTTCTTTGCATCCATTCTACGATTCATTGCTGCCAGAGGACAGTACGTACTAATTTACAATAATTGTGATTTTTTTTTAATGGCGTTTATACTCGCATTTATATTAGATGAATAAGACTGCTCGAGGAGAGATTTGTATACATATTAACACGTTTACAGAAAGTGTATAAGAGCATCTCCCTTTTCTCCCTCTGGCAACCGAACGGCCACCAAATACTGTAAATCTGATGACATCGCTCGACCGTTCGTTGCCCGTGAATAATCGCGTTCCTCCTAAAGAGAAACCATTTTTCATTTTCTTTTTCTTTTTTTTTTTGAGAGAATAGAACAGAAGACAAAAGACGATACACGAAACAAATGAACAGCGCTTATAATTAGTACGTTAAGTACATAAAGTAAACTAACGATAAGCACATGTGCCTATCGAGAGATAAATGTCTAGGAGATAAGTATGTATGTATATTTAGATTATAATGATACAGCCACATGATTCAACGTACGTTATACACGAAATCTCGTATTTTGAAAAGGTTCGCGTAGAGAGTATAATGAGAAACAAAAGATCACGAATCGAATGTAGAAAAACTATTGGTACAAACGCCAAAGACTTAACCGTTAGTTATATTCAGATAATTAAGTTCTTTAAATAACTACTTACACATAAACAAGTCCTTTTTGCCGAATACGTAGGTAGTTATTGTGTTTGTTGTGTGCTCGAGCGTTTGATAAAATTCATTAAAAGGTGGTAAAAAAATAATAGTACGTTGCAGAGAAAGCTAGAGAGAGAGAGAGAGAGAAAGAGAAGTAGATACATATAAATCGTTCGGAAAATGTGCCTGTCAGATGTGTATTACAGTGTTAATTGTTGCGTATATCGAAAAGTGTGAATGTAGACGTGAACGTGAATCGATGCAGCCGCGTGCGCCCCACGCACGTGGTTCACGAATTGAACATAGTGCATCGATACGCGAGCTAGATCCAAACGGTGTTCAGATGAAAATCATGTTCTTCGTATGTACAAAATATTTCGATTGAAATTTATTTTTAAACCGCGGTACGGTCGCCAGGCCAGCTTGTTAAACGGACTCTTAGGAAAATAGTTTAAACGTTAGTCTAAGGATAGATCTCTCTCTCCGACAGAAGACGAGCCTGTGAAAGTGATAAGTTTGATCAGCGGGACTCCGGTCGCAGGAAGAACAGCGTGTACGATCACAATGACGAGGCGCGACGATGACGAAGACGAAGACGGCGAATTATGAAAATTCTAAACGATGTGTGCGCATACGTGACAAGTGTATTGTATCGAACGAGGTTACATTCTGAAAATGCCCGAATCCGTTTGTCGTTCCACGAGTGATGGAATCGCGGTTTAGCTCTGCACGTTTCGTACTTTCTTGCCTGTTGATAAAAAAATAGGAAGGGGGAGAAAAAAAGAAAACGACAGTCGAGCCGATCAATTGTTCAGGTAACGAAATGTATATCTTCAATAGTTCCTAACTAAACTGTTTGAAACCGTTTCACTTATCGGAGGCAAAGGGGAACAATGGGGGGAGGGGGGTATGGATGGATGACGAATGCATGTATGAGAAGCGCCAAATCGTTATCGAAACGCATAATTATAAAAGCAATAAGTGTGCCTTGTTAGAATGTTCTAAATGCATCGTACCGACGAGTAGAATATTTAACGGATAAATAGTCTCGGGACCTTCGCCGAATTCGTCGAATTTATTTCTAATGTATTTACGATTTTGAGAAACTTGAGATATAAGGTAAACGAAATAAAAAAACCATATAGTTGGCGTTTTCCTGTTAGTGAATTTTAGCGTTAAAAAAAAACAGAAGCGTATACATAGAATTTTCTCGCGTGGGGTTTGCGAGGGGGAAGGATTAATGATTGCTAGAAGATTTTACGTCCCTCCGCGAAAGGGAAACTGATTTTTCGAAAGGAAGCATTTTTTTCGGAGTTAATATTATTTTTAGTATCGCAGTAGTGCGCATTGTTTTGTTTCCTTCCGGTTTTTTTTTTTCTTCTTCCTTAACTTTCTCTTTCCGCGTGCACATTATAATCTGCCAGGTGCGTGCTACACGCGTACATATCATGTCAACCTTGAAACATACTTGCTCGACTTATCAGGGTGCCCGCCCTTCTTTCAAACGGTGTTCCACCGAACGTGGAGACGGTTCTCCGTTATCTCTGCCTTCGGACGGAGATCCAAGGGAATCAGAGCCGACGGCCTTACTTCTTCGAATTTAAAGGGTCGCCCGATTTAACTTCCGAGTAATGTAATGTCCGATTGGTAATTTTGTAAAATAAATTAAATATGTTATCAATTTTATCATCCACGTTTATTTCGTTTACTTTGTAAGAACGCGAAGAAGGAAAATGCCTGTCGATCGTTTCGTTTGCGTTATCGACCAAACAGAAGTATTAAACGCGCGACAGGTGGAAGTACGTCGAGTAATCGTGAGAAGGTTTAAGCCGGAGCGCGCGATGCCGCATAATAAAATGATGGAAACGAAAGTCAAGAGCAAGGAAGAAATACGCGTGAGTGGGAAGTAAGTAATGTAACGGAGGATAAGGTGGCTGGTAAAATGAGGAGCGAACGGATTACCGATCAGTCCGAGCCCGAAGCGAGTGCCGACTGCCTTCTGCGGTAGGCAAGACGATACCATGAAATCTACGCGACAACACGCGGGTTAATTCGCTCAGTTTTAAATCTACACGACGTTACGTTGACACACGATACGAAATTGTACGTGCGGAGGTCGTCCGATTCGTGGGTTCGTTCAAAAAACATGATGAACGCTTGAAAGATACAATAGAAGAGGAGGATTGAGTAGCAAATCGAATACTCTGGAGAATTGTTGTTTTTGATAACGGAAAAGGAACTGCGAGGATGGGTGCAATTATACCGTAGCCCTGTTGATCAACGTGCATCAAAATTAGCCCAGTTATAGTACAACGACCGTGCTCCGATGAGTAACGCACCTCCACGAGACGCACATCGTGTCTGCTATAAACTGAAGGTACGCACGCGAGAAGTGATTCATTACTTTTCCTTGCTAATTTTAATCTTAATTAATTCCGGAGTTGCTCGTTCTATGTGTAAGCGTTAACACTTTTCCTTTATAAGTTCGTACGCTTTAGTACGAAAATGTACGATGTAAGGGTAAAAGGGCTGTAAGGAGTAACAAAACGGTGAACGATCGTACTGTGAAATAGAAAAATTCTAGTAAAGCGGCGACCTAATTTCGTTCAAATTCGGGGCTTAACGGTGCGGACGAAAAAACGTACGCAGGTATGTACGCGAGGTGATTGCTTGATTCAAGTTTCGATTCTGATTTCGATGCACGTATCAACGCTGACCGCGGAATGTCAATACAGCCTTGCGATAGTCGGCTATGGTACATACACGAGTACGTTGCCTATGTCTCGTTTGAATTTCAGTTTCGACCCAGTTTTTTTGTTCACACTCGATTTTTCGTCGAACGTAAATGGTCGTTCGGATTCAAAAAACGTAACCCCGACGAATACGCGCGTGCGTCCTGGAAACAGTTGGATTCCCGGTTGTCCGATCCCGCTTTAACCGGTCGCATTTTTGTTCGATACGAAAACTACCGATAGAAAAATTACAGTACTTACCACGTCTGCGGCAGTGAAGATCTGCCAGTTCAAGAATATTTTAAGTAGCAAATGAGTCGTGAAACAGAAACGTTTACATCCCTTACGGAAATTTGAAACTCGACGTAACGTTACGTGAAGTGATTAATTACTCATTATTGTTGAAAGGTTTGGTACAAAATTTTCGCGCTTGCTGCGTGTTTGCGTTTATTGCCCTACATCGTCACGTGTCGTGCATACAAACGCATCCGAGATTTTTTCGTCGATACACACACCTAACGGGAGTCTTCTTAATTCGCGATCTTTCCCGTCTATCGTACGCACCAGGTTTTAACCGGGTTTCGCTTTGTCCCGCATTTTCTAGCTACCGATGCGAAAACACGAACCGTTCCTTGGTTCCTCCTTCCATTCAACCGGTTCGCGAGGGTGAAACTTCGTATCTCCTCAATGCTTCGTATAACAAATACCATTCGAATGTTTGAACAGGTTCACGAATGATCGATTAGTCCGTGGACTAAAAAAAGTGCTAAAAATGAGAGAGAGAAGAAGCATGCTCGTGTTCCTTGGAGTAATTCTATTTGTACAATGTTCGATGGGTCATAACACAGGCGACAGAGTTGACAGCGGCGCCAATGAACACTCGTTCTCTCACCACCGACAGAAAAGATTGTTTTGGATAACTAACGACGGTCGGATAGCTTTGCCACCAGGCACGATAATGACGATAACTCCAACTTTGGCGTTACCGTTCGTTAGATATCCTCCCTACGGTTTTCTCAGTAATATGACCATCAGTCTTCCTTTCACCAGTGAGTAAACGCCGGAGATCTCTCGCATGGGCATCCGCACATTTTCGTCCTACCACTTATCGTTTTTCAAATATTCCAGTTGACTTCGACAAACTCGGTTTGACTGATAACGAGAACCCTTACGGTGTTCTACCGTCAGCGTTCGATGCCAGGGAGCAGGGCTCAAACGCTGCGGACTTTATCGCGACGTTCGTAAAACGAGTTAGCAAGCGAGAATTACCGGAAAATGCGCTGTACGGAGGCGAAAGGGCTTTACTTTACGGCACCGCGGAAGATATGCTCGCGAATTTCGGTCTGAACGGAAAAGCCTGTCTATTGAGAGCGATCTGCGAAGTACAAGGACATCCGTTAAACAATTTCGGTCTGATCGGAGAAATGCTGAAACTGTTTTTCACGTACGCATCCTCTTTTCTGCTTTCGTTTATAATTAGACTGCGGATTTTTACGCACTATCTGCAGTGTTCATATTTTCTACCAAAATCGCGTTGACTGTAATCTTATTCTTACAGCGCTAGCAAATCGCCGTTTGCTAATATTTTAAAAGAATACGTAGAAGCTGAGAATAGAGGAAAGTTTCACGGCGAGTGCTGGCCTTATTTTAAAGACTGTCCAAAATCTTTATTCCTTCCATCGGAGAATAAATACACGTAAATACAAAAACTTATATGATTACGTTACAGCGAAAGATCGCTCGCAAACGAGATCCATCTGTTCTTTTATAGAGAAGACGCGGTGCACGACTCCGGAGAATCCGATGACGTAGACCAAAAGAGGAGCAAATATTTTCCCTCGGTCGAGACGATGGACCGGGCGAGAAGAAAAACGGAGAACTTCAAACACACGATGCATCCGTTTATGTAATTAAACTTCGTAACGATTCTATTAATGCGGGAGAGACTCCGCTACCGATCCGATACGAAACCAAATGGGATGTAATTGCATCTTACGCTTCGTTGGCCTGCTAAGGTGGCCTGCATCGCTCGCGTGCATACGCGTGCAAATTCCTTCGTCGCCATACTAAGTTTAGTAATTTATTTGTCGTAAAAGATTAGTTGCACGAAATAATAATTAAGTCAAGATCATTTCTTACTGTGTACATTATTTATACATATATCGTAATTTGAGACAGTAGTCAATTTTATAATACAAGTTACAAAATCATGTATAC